ATGCTCACATTCTTTTTCTTTGCTTTTTTCCTGTACTTCACATTAAATCAGAAATTAGAGATGGAAATGAGTTAGTAGGCAATTTTGTCTATTTGCTAATGCAGGCTTCTTCTCCACAGTGCATTACTTACAGCTTTGACAAGTTTAGCTAAGAAACACCCCAACCAATGGGGCTTCTATTGGTGCTATTGATCTATTTATTTATTTATTTATTTTTACAGCCTATTAGCTCTCTGTAAGAACATTTCCCTTGATAGCAGCCTTAAATTTTCTTTTGTAATTTCTTCCTTCTCCATTCTATACATAGAAGAGGAATGTAGTTTCTGGTGCTGCTGTCCCCATATCACTTTGCAGACTCAAATTGATTTCCCCCTGCCATGATTAGTCTTCAGTCTTACCGAGCTGGGTTCTGCCTTCCCAGCAAGTATTTGTGCAAGGGATTATTTTTGTCTCAACGTATCACTATGCATCTTTCCAAGTTGCTTCTCGTCTTTTCTATTCACATTTCTCAATTCTCAAAGTACAGAAGAATTATTTTTTCTGGGGGGTTTTGTACCATTTTTTGATTTAATGCATTTCAAAGTAACACTAAGGTGCTGTTTGCCTCTTAACCACATATCGCTAGTAAAAATATTAAATAAATGTTATCTAATATGTACACAGTACCCAAAATTAGATAAATTTGCCTCGTCTCCACATTCAGTAATGCATAGTTTACTTTTCCTCAACTTTTAGGCTATCCAACTAGCTTTCAATTAACATGACGGTATCACACCCAGTTTAACCTTCATACGTTCCCCATGGAGCAACTTCCTACCCCAGATACATATTTTGTGCAGCATCTTGAAATTAATTAATTCTAAATTTTTTTCTTTTTAGGACATTGTCACTGGCACCACAGTGCACAATATCACCAAAGAACAGCCAGCTTGCATGAATGGTTTGCTCTCTGTGGATGAAAAACTGCCCAGGGTAACATGTTACCCCAGGCATGAATGTGTTTTTTCCATATGGGGTAACAACTTACTCCATGCCTATGTTAACACATTGGGGTAACTTGTTACCACAATCAATTTCTGTATAAATGGCCACTTTGGATGGATGCATCTGAAAGGTCAGCATTCATTTACAAATCATTCATGTCCACTTCAGGTATCCATGGTAACTAATGGATAGCCATCCTCAACTCTGCTTTTGCAGATGATGTGGTAATCCCTTTTGCTAGCCACTTTGTTTGCAGGCTGCAAGGTCATCAAAACATCCTGCCCTTCACCACAAAATCCCCTCAAAACCCTTTGTCACACCCAAATCCACCTCTGATCTCTTTTCTCATGGCAAAACTCCACCTCACCTGCTCCTTTTATAACATACAAGATAGTTTGCCCTGCCTTTGTTGGAAGTGAGGACAAGGAGCAAAAGGACAGCAGAGAAGAAATACAACATAATACCGCAATACAGCATACACTATGGAGCCTCCTTCAACGGTAGGGGCCTGACACCCCCCATACCTCTTTTACCTGCTCTCAATAAGCCCCTGCATGTGTGATTTCCAAACAGCATCCACCCACATTTGGCTTGCCTGCAATGGGTGGATCCTGGTCTCCGGCTTCTGTGCCAAGGAGAAGAGGGTGCTACCTGCACTGCCATAGGGCAGGGCAGAATTGGTTCTGTGATAACATAGGTGGACAGGCTGGTCTTTGATTGTTATTTATACGCATTCAGCCGTAACCATTTTTTTCTTTTTTGTCTGAAGTCCAGGATGAGAAGACAGTGAATATTCAGTGCTGAAGCCTGTCTTGCACAGGTAACCGGGGATGACAGCAACACATCCACTGATGAAATCTTAACCCAAGGCAGAGAGGATGCTGACTTTGTTCCAGACAGGGGAGATTGTTCAGAGCAAGAAGACCATGCTCTGGGGGAGGGACAGAGAAGGAGCATAAAAGCTTTGTTTGAAATAAGCTTTGTCAGCTGTGCCTTTGTCAGCTTTCTGAGCTGTGTCCTCCAGCAGCATCAGGAAGGCTCTCACTTACTACTTGCTAGTCTGTTCCTAGCAAGTGGGATCCAATCCTTTCTGAAATAGCCTAATACCCTTTCCTAATCCATTCCTTTCAATGTATTCCTCCCCCAAAATCCTCTTTCTGTTTTTGTTATTCTCTGTAATTCTTTCTTTCTTTCTCCACATAAAAGAAATCTGTGTTTTCCCTGATAGTGCATTGACTGTGCAGGAAAGCCACAACTTAGATTACAGAACATATATTTATATATTACATAAATACATGCATTACGTTACAGAAACATGCACAGATTTTCCAGCACACCAAACATGAAGCGTGCTGGAAAGGCAGGTGGTCACTTCTGGACGGGGTGGAAGAGGGGGAGCTCCAAGTTCCCCCTCTCCTTCCCCCAAACTTAAACGCAGCCTCTTTCCAACAACTAGCAGGTATTCCTCTTCTGCTGCTAGTGGCACCAAGCAGATGGGAGCAGTGTCTGCATCCCCTCTAATAACACCTGCCATAATAACAACAACCCCGAGCACCACCATCATGACAACAACAAGCAGCACCAGCAATACAGTTTCCTATACCCCAATTTCAATTTCCAGCCTGAGCCTTCCACTGCCAAAGGAAGAGCTGGATCTGGATCTGAGTGCCATAGCAAGGGAAATTCTGGGGAAGGAGAGGGAATCATCTGAGTTTGTGCTCCACACCCCTCAAGTTTCCCCTAGAGCCAGGTCTCCTTCTCCAGAAGGCACTTCAGAGGAGGTTGAGGTAGAAGTTGTGGAGGCAAGTGGCTCAGCTGAGTCCGCTCCTCCTGTTGCTGTGCCAATGCCTGCTGAAGAGGGGGAAAAGGCAGCATTCGCACATGCACCTGCATCCCAGAAGTGAGGGGGTAGTGTGGTTTGGGATCATTTTGAGCTGGCAGATGATCCCACATAAGCTACCTTCCTGCACTGTCAAGGCAAAACCAGCTGGGGCAAGGGAGCAAAATGCATGAGGACTCACGCATCTCTGCAGGCACCACCCCCTTCTTTGTTGAGCGGCCAGGGTTCAGGTGGCTCATGGCCCCATTGTACAAAGTGCCCGCACGTACCACCCGCAGCAGGATGGTGGTGCCGCCCCTGTATGAGGCATGAAGACAGCGCTTTTTTTTGCAGGAGCTTGGAGAACAGTTGACAGATAGACAAATAAAATGAAGAATGATGGATACACGTAATCTGTCTAAGTCTGTCAAGTCTGGTATGACTGCCTTAAATTACAAATTGCCACAACGCACCCCAGTAGAACCTTCTGCAAGCATGAGTGGATGTTGTGCTTTTGGTCCAAGGACAGAAGATTGCAAAACCTGGAAACCATGTGAAGATTGTAAGCGATTTGCTTGTGATGCACCACAGTACATCACTGCTGCTTTGTGAAGAATGCAATATTTAGTTAAAACAGTTAGGAAATGTTTTTGGAAGTAACTATTAGTTTGAAAACAGTGTGAATTTCAGACTTAGCAAATTGTTCATTCACATTTTGAAACTAAAAGAAGTTTAAATTTTGTTCATAGCTCTAGTTAAATAATATTTTGGGTTCAAATCATCATAAATACTCTTTCAAACAATTTGTAGGTTTAATAAATAGTTTTTGGTACATTTATACTGTTGTCGATGGTTCCATTTTGTTCACGGGTGGGGTAACAAGTTACCCCATGAGAACAACAAGAGTTACGGTTTCATGAGAACAGATGAGGGTTAAATCAACTTTGCAAAATTATGAGAGTTAAACACTTTGCTAAGATAGAAATATATCTTATGTTAGAAAAGTAGTAGCAGTATTAGTAGATTTTTCTCACATAGCAAAAAGAGCTGTTCTAGTAGGAAAATAATCCAGGAACAGCCAAGGATAAATTGTTCCCAGGAGAGTTTCTTCTGTGGGAGGAAATGTCTTAACAATTTTGAGAGAAGCTGCAGTATAGCCCTCCAGCATTCCAGGCTCCTTTGTTCCCCCTCCAGGGAGACAGAGTTGCTCAGGCTGGATTCTACTGCTCTAGAGTAGGAGGGAGCAAAAACATTCCCTTTTTACAATCCCTACATTGGGTTACAGCAGGCTAACTTGAGCAGTCTGAGCCAGCCAATCAGGGTTGCTCTATGCAAGGCCGCCATCTGCTTCCAGCCGGGCTGAGGAAACCTGCATAACATGCTGAGATGTATGCACACAAGTCCCCAGCTGTGCATCATCAGCACCATGAGCTATCTGCTCTTCAGGGGCTCAGCATCCAAATGTCTGTTCAGGAGTCTCTGGCTAGTTTTTCTACCAGGAAGACAAACCCAGAGGAATTCTCCCACATCATTTGACTATGTGTATACAGACAAAAGCACTACCTGACCAGTGGCTGCGAGAGGGTTAACATTAGATTCCACTTCTGCTGTTTGAGACCCCAGGGAGAAGTGGCAGCCATCTTGGGAGCCATGAGTCACAGTGTCTGCTTGCCCTATTTTACCCTGTCTCTATTCCAGAAAAGAAAGATCAAGTTCTCTACTCAAGATATACTATACTAATTTTGAAGAGCTCATTTTGGGGGTGCATGTAGTATACAAGTAGATATAGTACTCTGAAAGGAGCGAGTGACAGAAGAAAAAAACACTGAAAGCTAATAGTTCCTATTTATTTTTGCTGCTACTTCTTATTCATCAAGGAAAATATATAGTAGATATGTTGAAGGCATGATTCTGAATCAATGCATTATATAAGTCTTCCTGTATAGCTCTTTGAGTATTTTAGATCCTCTTACCACACTGAGGTGATCACTTCCAGGAGTATAGGACAGCAGTTTCATATATGAAATACTGTTAACAGAATATGCATACACACAAGCATAGGGGGCAATTTTTCCTTACCTACATTTCTTTATTCCTGACACCCTTAATGTTTTAAAATGAGTAAGGCAAATAGTTCCCAATTTAAAGAAAACAAATTGCAAGCAATTAAAGTAAACAAGGCCTTGTAAACACTTACAGTCCGTAAATCTGTGGAGCAATTTCTAGCCTGTTCAGATGCATATACAGCTCAATATCATGCTTCTTCAGCAGATGATCTTGGATCTGGTTTACTTTAGTTACAATAGCAATAGATGGGCCTAAATCCTGTGGCCTGGCAAATGGCATAGGTGTCATCATTGCATCTCTCTCCTAAAGGTAGGATAAATAAAAACAAGAAATGAATGATTAAAAAAATCTTTCATGAAAAGTCAGTAGGACAGTGAACAAGGGACAACATCCTTGTGTAACTGACCTCTCAGTAAACAACTAAAATAAAATAAAATAACCACTTTACCTAAGCCCATAGTTACAGTTACAACATGGCCAAGTGTTCAAACTTTCTTATGGTGAAGCCTGTAGTAAAAACTCCCCTTTGTACTCCAAGCTGACTTGTTCTTCTTTTGGTCAAAATATACTCACATTGACAGAGTACAAAACATACTAAGATGGCAGACCCTCAATTCTACACAGAACAAGGGGAGGCAGGGGGAGTGATTTATCTGTAGAGATTAATAATCATATACAAGTCATTTCTAGCAATCTACTTCTCAACAGTTTCTCAGTCTAAGAGAAAAGAAGCTCCATAGCTAAAAATTCAAGAAATATAATATGGCAAAAAAAATTACAACCAAACTCGTTATTTTAACCTAGGCAAGGTAAATTTACTGGAATAACACGAGAGGGTTCTCTGCTTGGTTTGATCTGCATGTAGCATGGAAGCAGCATGATAAGCTTTGACTAAACACAGAATGGAGTAAAGGAAATGAAAAAAGCTTGATGGATCCCAGGAAAATGGGGGTATGGCAAAGTGGGGCTCCCCGCCTAGCCACAGTGCTAGATTCCCCACTTGCCATTGGGCACGCCACCCACCTGACTTTCCTACCATGCCTTGTTCTTTGTAGCAGGACACTAAGGTGCCTGCTACTGAGAGAGCCAGGAAGACTCTTCAGGTGCCGGTTGCCAAGGCAACCAAAGGGAGCTAATGGCTTACACCTGCCTAGCCAGCTGAACGAAGGGGCAGGGCCTGGCCCTTGTATATAAAGCACAGGCAGGAGGCCAGAGGCGGTTCCCTACCAGCAGCCAAGCCAGAAAATGCTCCCTGAGCAAGGATGTGAGAACTGTAGGTACTGCTCAAAGCAGGGTTAAGGAGGGCAGCTCTGGGACGTTTTAGTAATGTAATTACAGCCGGGTGGCATTAAGTTCAGTTATGGCCTAGGGGCTTGTGTAGGCTTTGTTTGTTTACACCGGTGGTTTGGGTGAGGCTACAAGGGGATGGAGGACGCCTAAGAGGGGACCCACAGTAGAGGGAGCCCCCCAGCCCCAGCGAGGGCACAAAGTTCGGGGTGTACAGACCCCAGCTCCAGAGACGAGCCCTGTGAGAGGGGGCGGCATACGGAGAGGGCCCGGGAGAGGGGGGCGGCGTACGGAGAGGGCCCGGGGGAGGGGGCGGCGTACGGAGAGGGCCCGGGAGAGAGAGAGAGCGAGAGAAAGAGAGAAAGAGACCAAGAGACGGGGCTGTGGAGAGCCCGAGCGCTAAAAAGGGTGCGAAGAGAGAGGGAGGGACAGAACAACGTCTCTTTTACATCTGCGAGGCTTGGGGCGTGGTATTGGGGTGGTAGGAGCCACGCACAGCCCTTAAGGCTTGGGCGCATGGGACAACCATAGACAGGAGGACCGTGACCAAGAGGACTGGAGGTAGCTTCCCTATAAAAATTCATAACATCCAAGACGTGGCGGGCGAGAATCGGAGGGTGCAAGAAGACAACTTGGCACGGTAAAGGAAGCAGCAGGGTAGAGCACGGCGACCCTGACGTCACTCCCTGTCACATTCTTAATTAATTAATAGTTGTTAATTAAGTTAGGAGGCTGCCCGTTTTATGCCCCGATGCCAGGGGGCGCTATCTGTGGCTCCGTACCTCCCTTACACCGCAGCCCGTGCCTTGCAGATGGCCTCCAGATGACAATATGCTCCTGGCCTATAGCCAGAACAAGGTTAGGCCTCGTTGTCTGGCCTCAGACACACACGCGTTCATACCACCCTCCTCTCACTAGGGCCTCACACACTCTACCCTCTCTGACAGGGTCTCTTTCTTGTGTCAACAACTTATACTGCCTTGCTCCCTCTTGGAGTAGGCCCCTTAGGCCATGGCCTTTACCTAGTTTGTAGCTTGGGTGGCAGACGTACCGTCTTTTGGACCTCTCCCGCAATCCTCACCTGGGTAGTGGCCAGCCAATTACCTGACCGGGTCTGAGCTTGCTCTGGCCCCTTCCGGGGGGAATTCTATACATATAAATACACTGGGCTCTCAGCCCTTTGGTTTTCCTTCCCCCCCACTGGGGCTCTTCATCTCCGCCAATTTCTGGGGCCACCCCTCACCAAGGCATTCTTATCCCCTTCATTCGGGGCCCCACACCACTCCCTCCACTCAGGGCTCTGCCCCCTCCCTAGGGTCCTCATTTCTGCCCCCTTCACTTGGAGATCCATACCGCCCCCTTCACTCGGGGCCATGGGGCTTTGCTCCCTGGTGGGCTCAGGTGGCCTCAGCCGTACCTGGCCCCCACTCTCCCTCCTCGGGGTCTCTCAGGGTCTTGCAGCCCACACAGGACTCAGGTGGCCACAGCCGTGCCTGGCACCCACTCTCCCTCCTCGGGGTCTCTCTCCCCCCGCAAGGGGCGTCGGGTGGCCTTAGCCATACCTGGCCCCCAACTACCTCCGGTGTTACCTAACCCACCCAAAGGAGAGGGCTAGGGTTAAGGCACCCCTACCCGTCTTTCACCAGGGTGGTAACTGGCTTGGCATTTTCTGGGGACTCCCGCACCACTGAGAGCCCCACCAGGCAAACCACTCCCGGCAATGTGCAGTTTTAGGTCATGACCAGAAGCCTCCTAACCATCCCCTACAGCCCCTCCCTGCCCTCCAGGAGGTTATGGAGCCTCACAGCCAGGCTATGTTGCTGCCTTCCCAGCCAGCAGGGAACTGAGCTGTTTACATAGGCA